TTAAAATCGCTGTGTGTGTCTCTATTTGCTGCTCAAGTTTCAATTGTTTTTTTTCTTGGAAATTTGGCTGCATTTTAAGATTTCATTCCACTTCGGCATATGTGTAGAGGGAGGATTTGTGTAAAAGAGAAGGTTATTGCGAACATGTGTTGAGTGAGCACAGGTGGTCCTAAGTTGTTCGTCTGAGCCATTAACCGTCACCTCAGACTCCTAATAACCATACATTGCTGACGCACCAGTGGTAGTACCGGGTGTTGCCCCCAACCAATCATATTCGCGCATAAACGAGCACAGTTCACTCACTAAAAGTGGCCAAACGCAAATGGCTAGTCATTGTTCCGTAAAAAACCTAATGTAGCGGGTATTGTCAAGTGGTGAATACCGCAAACGCCGAGTCGGATATCAAGATTTTCCCTTGTGTGATGTCGACATTATATAAAATCTCATGACTTGCCCGGTAACCAAAATTGAAGTGAATCTAAGATCTAAATTCACGAAATGGGCGATATATCATCGTACGACACACACAAATACGTGTAAGAGTAATCAGCTAATGTTCATTCAAGTCGGCTGCTTGCTCGCAGTCTCACACAGCCGCCTTTAGCTTTCCTGACTTTAGTTCGTTATTGACCAGATTCCCTAAAACTCTAACCTCCAATGATATCAATGACTCAAAAGTCATCTAACGGGGCAAAAATAGTTCAGTGTCTTCATCATGTGCTAAAGATGAGATGTCATTTAAGGCACTAATGACAATTTGATTTTATTAGTGCCTAAAGGTGACATCTTGTGATCGTTTCAGAAAAGACCTAGGCGAATCGAATATCAAGATTTTTCGCTTGTGCGATGTTGACATAATATTCCTAAAAAAACTTGTCCGGTAACCACAATTAAAGCGAACCTAAGATCGAGATGCACCAACTGTACGATTTGCCATTGTTGAGGACCCCGGCATGTTGTCTTGATCCACGCCGGCCCCAATGCGACAATCTAGGCCGAATACGTTACCCTGTGTTCCCGTGAAAATAAAGAAGACCGGAGTGGAGACGGCACAACCGTTTACTAGACATCTCAAGCAAGTTGTGTTTTATTGACTGGTACTGCCGTCTGAATGGTCACATTTATAAGGGGGGTGGTGCTGGTGGTACACACACAGAGGTGTTAATGAGAAGGCGGTCCTAGTGACTGACGGACGAGCCGTGAAAAGGGGGCGGTGTGTGTGAGGCTGCGACTACCGGGCTGTTTAACGTGAATCAACACGATTCACTACATCACCTTACGGCGCGCCTTCTTGTGGTAGTGGAGGTATTCGATCTTCTTTTCAGTAAAAGGATTTAGCTTGAACTGCGCCTTAAGTGTTGCTTGTAATCTGATTGGCACACAATGAGTATTTGACCCCTTCCTTACCCGATGGCCCTCTCTGTAACATTCCAGCTACGCGATGGCCCGCCTACTCTGTTCTTACGGTGCTCGTCCACGCCAGTCGCATAATTCCCAAGGTCAGACCCCTCTAGTCCTCTCCAAATACGTCTTGCGCAACAGCAAAATGACCAAACTCCTCTCCAGCTTCTCACCCACCAGCTCTCCACAGTCGAAGAGGTCCACCGTCTCGACTTCCGAGGACATAGATGCTATCCAGAACACGGAAGAAGACGCAGTGATTCTCCCAGTCCTTCCTGAATCCAGTCTAAATCTAACTGCCAAGAGTTCGACAGTGGACAGCGGGGCGATTGCCACGAGGCTTCGGAGAACCGGGGTCGTTGCTGCGATGGCAACGAAAGTCGCCGCTTTAAGCCCGCGGAATGACGCGATTGAGACCATGTCAACCAGTTCACTGCCTTTAAGCTCCGTCGTTGACAATGAAACCATCGGTGTCTCACCGAGGCCTTACCTACACCGCGAGGCCAAGGTCGCCTTTACTGAAGGTAAGAAGAGTCTTTTCGTTGGCAGTTTCGTTTGGTCAATTATTGTTCCATTAAAATTTTCTTCCAAGTTCACACTACTCCATCATGCAAACTCTCGGGATTGGTCCAATTAAGGCCTGTCTATGAAAACAGTAACTTTAGTTCAAAGGTCAAATTTTGCAGGAAAGTGTAGATGCTTTGTTCGTGGAAAAACTGTCCCAGTAGCCCTCTTTCCATTATAAGTTTTTATAAAACAAAATTTCTAACAATAGTTGATCTTGCCGTGGATCCAGACACCCTCGAACCACCTCGACCGAGGGCGAATAGTCTGAAGGTGTGTCGACGGGAGCTGGAGGTGCTTCGAAGAAAACTGCCGGCATTTTTAACGCGATCCTCACTCCAGAAAGCCATGGTGTGTTGGCTACTACTTAAATCTGAGTGAGTAGTGGTGCTTAATGACCTGGATGGTGGTTTGATTTTCCAGGTACATCAACCTCGTCCTGTGCCTCTGCGAGCTCGACGCAAAGCCAGTACAATGGATCCAAGTGAATACTATCCCATGGCTAGCCCAAAACGCGGAATTTGCGTCATCATCAACAACATGACCTACTGGCACCCGCAGTTCCGGGTGAGTAGTGACGTGAAGTTTCTATTTGTTTGGATACTACTTTTTTAGTGCGAGTAGCCCCGAGGATATTGATTTTTAGAACCGAGGCGGATGTGACAAGGATGAAAAACGAGTGGAAAAGGTCTTCGGCGACCTCGGTTTCCTCGTCAAGGTCTTGCGCAACCTTTCCTCCGGCGAGATGCGCTCCGAACTCAAATTCATCGGCCGGAAAACCGATCACACCGCGTACGACTGTTTCGTCGCCGTTGTCATGGCGCACGGTGGCCTTGGTGAACTGTACGGAGTCAACGGAGACGCCTTCCCGGTCCATCAGCTGACGTTTGACTTCACAGCAGAGAAGTGTCCTAGCCTGGCGGGCAAGCCAAAACTCTTCTTCATACAGGCCTGTCGTGGCGACGAATACCAGCTGGGTTACGCTCTCCCGGTTCAGAGCAATGCCGAAGAGCCGCCCCAAGTCGTCACCAATCCACCTCGTGTCGAATCCGCGTCCAATCCGCTCTACATTAGTTCCGGCAAAGACGATGAGCCTGCAATTGCGGCGGCAAAACTGCCTCGGAAGCAGCGTTTGGTGCCGAGTTTTGCAGACTTCTTGCTGAGCTACGCCACGTTGGCGGGGTTTAAAGCCCAACGGGACGCCAAGCAGGGCTCAATGTACATTCAGACCCTGTGTCACCATCTGGAAGTCTACGGACGAGTCAGAAGTTTACTGGACATTGTCACCTCAGTGCATCGGGAGGTCTCTGAGAGGGTTTTTCGGGAGGCCGATTCGCCAGAAGACGAAGGGACAATCTTCCAACAGACGCCCGAAGTTCGACACACACTCACAAGACGAGTGCAGTTTGTTTGACATTGTGTAATAAAGAGTATTTTTCTTTGAAGTCTTTGTCTATTTTTGATTGTGCAATGTCATTGTGAGTAGAGGAGAAAGTAGCTCTGTGGTTGGTCCTTCTGGTTTCGAAAATTGGTCAGCCTGGGGAGTTTAGAGTCGACGTTGTTTGCTTAACCTAAACTAATTATTAAAGCTCTGAATTGTCATATATTAGCTAGAATCAGAATGTATTTAACTTTTTAATGTAATCCGAGCCTATTAAATGTAAAATGCCTACAAGACACTTTCAAAGTACATTGTCAGTTTAATTCAAATTAATCGCAGACATAATGGTGGTCAATGAGCAAAGCTCGGACGTGCCATGCTACTTAAAAATCACAAATCCTATCAGCTCATTGCTAAAAAAATCCATTGACTGTGGGAACGAAACGAAATTGGTGAAGAACTAAGCATTATTCTGTGTGTAACTTTTAGCTTTTACCTTGAAATTCATTACGAATTAAGAGAAAAGTTATAAAAGAAATTTTTGTTTCCTACCTACAGATGACCATTCCAAGGTTACTAACGATAAAAACATCACGGACGGCAATGAACTGGATCTCAATTATAACAAAGTAAAAACGTGTGCAGATTATCTGTGGGCAACACAGCATCCGTATGGCTATAAATGTCAAAATTTCAAAAATTTCTGGCCTTTCACTTTTGATCGTGTCTATGCATTTCATTTTTGTATCTATACCGGCCGTCTTGTTCCTACTGGAACATAAAGGCACAGACGAACACGCCAGCAAAAAAATTCCTAGTCACTATCAACTTAATGGAAAAGGTTCTGCATATTGATTGTTAAAAGATTGTTTTTAAACTAAAGAGTACAGAGTTTGTCTACTTTTTCGGCAAGGTCATCCTCGAATTTTGACTTCCACATCACAATTCTCAAAAAGGAAGCAAGTTTTAGTTAAGACATTGTTTGTGTATTATAACAGCAAAACACGGGTTCAACAAAAATTATAATTGAATGCTTTAAGTTTGGTTAATTTTGAGAATTTCACTTAATCTTTAAAAACTACAATTTACCCATGGCTATTTACGCCTTTGTTTAAATAATTTTTTATTGTGCAAATATTATGTTAGTTGCCAATAAAAAAACCATCGAAATATTGTTAAATTAACTTGGTATGATATATTAAAAAAATGACGAACCTTGTTTCTTGCGTAACATGTCAAGGAAAAATATGTTTACTACTTAATGTAAAGGTAATCACACATTAGAGAATGTAAGATCAGGAATTTTTCCAGGGCCTAGACATCTAAAGAGGCCTACAATATTAAAAATTCCATTAAAACAAAATTTTATCTTTTACAATGCGTTGTGATAGAGTGGCTTTGAAGTATTGGAATGTATTATTTTCTTGTATTTTTGGCCTAAGGAGTTTAGATTTCATTTAGTCGAAATAAGAGAACCTTAAAAATTAAAAAAATGTTTTCTCTTAGCTTTTTGCTCTTTATTACTACGTTATAGTTGCTGGGAACAAAAATTCCGTTTAAACTATTATTTCCATTTCCAAATGAAGTGTCTATTTACATTTACGTTATGCTTTTTTAAACCAATAAGCAGAGGGTTTGTTTACTTTTCAGCAATGTCAGCCTCGCACTTGTGCATTAAATAACCTTTCTACACAAATCCACTTTTTAGAAGATGGCAAAAGAAGAAGAGGAGTCTAACGTTACAAGGTCATACTCTCGGACTAAGACAAAGTTTTGCATTTTGAATTGGTTCTTATTGATATAGACGTGGTCGGAGCTCTAGTAGCAGTGACAGTCGTTCAAACGATGGACTGCAAAATGGGATCTCTAAAAAGGAGCGACTTGAAGAGCAGAGGAAGAAAGAAGAAAAGAAAGCTGAGGAAGAGCGACTCACGTGAGTCTTTATTAGCTGGTTCTCTTGCGCATTTTATGTCACTAGTCTAATGTTCTTGTCTCCGCTGTAGGCAAAACTGCTTAATTATCTCTAAATAATTAAATATTGAGTACCTTAGCTCGATTTAAGATAGCATACATCTGATTTTCTTTTTTTTTAATTTTTTGCCTTAATTTAGTCGTCAACAGTGGGCTGAATCAAAGCTCCTTGAGGAAGAAGTTGCTCGTCGATTGGAGCGTTACCTTGAAGCAGAGTTAGCTTCACTTTTGAAAGAACGAGAGGCAGAATTTAATGCTGAGGTCGAAAGGCGTGTCGCGATCGAAAAGGAGGCATTAGAAAGGCGCCGAAAGGAAGAGGCCGAGCGAAAAGCTCGTGAGGAAGAAGAAATGAGACTCCGTAAAGAAGTGAGTACAAGTCATTGCAAAGTTTTGTGCGAGGTGCTTTAAAAGTCCTCACTTAATGGGTGAAATGTACTGGGCTGAAGTGTTTTTAATTCTAAAAGTACGATGGGGGCGCATTTTTTTGCATATATGTTAGTTTTTATCCGCCATTCCCAAGCTTAACCTTCACAACTACTTGTGCGTTTCTATTCCTTACTGGTGCTGTGGCGTTAGCCAAAGTTAAACGCACTTCTCTTACTCCACATTTGTAGAAACCTGAAATATCAAGGAAACGGGGGTTAGCTCGCAAAATTAAGTTAACGCCTTATCTACATTAGATCAATTTCAGTTCAAGATTGGTTAGCTGGGTCTTTCTCTTTATAGAAGATATTAGTATTAATATAAGTGCATGTTGGTGTCCAACCTATCCAAAAGAATACTTTAACTCTCGTTTTAGAAAAAACATGTATTTATTACGCCTTCAATTCATCTCTTCCCACGTAAACTATCTTTTAATCAAAACTGGGAGTCAGGGCGTGAATAACCGGACCATCTTTTCATCACTTAGATTTTTTGTTAAAATTAGACGACGGCAGGAAGTAGGTTGGCTACGACAATCGATTTTAGTCAATAAAGAGATATAATTTAATGTCTTTTTGTGCAATTCGATCGTTAAAAAACGTTTAGCCTGACTTTCGCAAAACTGAATTCAGAGAATTTGGTTGATTAACTGCGCAGTTTTGTGTTGGAATGTGTCAGTACCGAGATCGCACGAGAAACCGGACTGACAGATGTGATTTGAAGTAAAAATTTACCACAAATTTAACTCCAATCCTCCTTGCCTTTATTTATTGCTTTTCTCCTTTCGAGGAAGAAGAACGCCAGCTTAAAGAACTGAACGAGCGCCTGACACGTCAACGTGAAGAGGAACTGAGCGAACTGCGCCGTAAAGAGGTAGGGCTTGCATTGCTTCGATTTTCAGTGCATTCTCACTTTTCTACTGCCTTTTCTCCAACTAATTTTTGCACCCAACAGCTGTCTATTGTTCGCATTCAGCAGTCTCACGGGATGGATGTAGGCGTAAACTCCGAATGCGTGGTATAATACACGGTCTACTCGTAACTCATCAGTAGTACTGTTATTTTAACCTCTCTGTCACGGGTACTTGCTGATGTGTCGCTTTTATCTAATTTAGGAGGAAATTCGGCAGAAGCAATATGAAGAGGAACTGAAAAAGTTGGAGGAGAAGCAGCGTTTGGAGGCGGAGGAGCAGCGAAGGATAAAAAAGGAGCAGGAAATGATCCTTAATCGAAAGCGTGTTCGACCTAAGTTGAGTTTTTCTTTGAAAAAGTAGCCTTGTGCCTGTAATGCAATACACTATCTATGCATGTGTTTTGCTGTCCTATCATTTTCCTTAAAGGTTTTTGTTGTGTTATGATTCGATATTTCGGCTAGAATGTTCAATTCTACCAGAATGATAATCCAGATTCAGTAAAACAAACAACCCAAGGTTATTTCATGTTAGCCGTAAGCAATTGACCTTCACAGTTATTAGAAATTCTTTTTTGGTTTGTTTACATGACTTTGAGTTGACACTTAGTGACGGTCCAATCGGAACACAACCTTGAGTTGGCTCGCAGGCATGATCCAATGGAGACGTGACCTTGAGTTGACCCCTAGTGGCTGATCCAATGGGCATACCCTCCTGCGCCATGTCGATCAGAACACTGCTGTTTGCAAATTTTAATGAATATTAAACCCCGCAGTGATTTGAATGTCCCAATGACTATGAAAAATTATGAGATCATTAATTTTTTTATCGCAAAACTCGTTAAATTCGACATTTCGGATTGGATCGTAGGGAAACCCATTGCATTTTGCGTACATGTTGATGGCGATTTCCGCAAAGTGCGTGAGTGATCCTACAATGATTTGCGCAGCGAAGACAAGCGGGTAAACGTTGGTGCCATTCAAAAGCGTTGTTTTTTGTCATTTTTCTGTCGTAACATAGAGATAACGTGTTTGGACGGATTTAGCCCTGAATTCAAGTTAATATTGTGTTTCCGAGGCATCAGAATTTTGCAAGAAGTAGCCTTCAACGTGCCTGGAAGAAGGGGCAGGTCACCTGAAGGCAACTGACCAATGGGAATCGCATGGCCTGGTGAATGTGCAACTGCGCATAAATGTTACAATGCGTGTCGGAGTTGGGGAGGCCGTGGGTCATTAAGATGTGCCATGTTTTGATGATTTGGGCTGACCTTGAGGCGACCCCAATTGCGTGATTGATTGGTCCGTCTGTGAGTTGCAATTCGTGTTTGCCTGTGTGTGATTGATTTGAATATCGTCTGATCAAACGCAGATGCTTCACGGGAGTTTCAGGCATCACTTGCAAGCGCCGTCACCACTTCTAAGTGACGACGTGGCGATTCGTGGTAGCGGTCCGACACGTCTGCAGATTCCTTTGGAATCCGGTTGGATGATCGATTAGCGTCAGAGCTTCGCCACCCAGATCGTGTAAAAGACACCCACGCCGACCCTATTTATGATCCGCTGTGCACATTGTCCGCACACACACACCCACACACAATGCCTGTTTTCCATTTAATTAATCAGGAATGCATTTTTCTGCATTCCGAGTGAATGTCATATTTACGCATCCGAGGGAATTGTCCACTCAGAGCTCTTGAACGTCGACCAATTGGAAGATGAGGAGGAGGATGCGCCTCCCTCGCAGTCGTCATTCTCTCTCCCTTCTCGCTGAATCTCATGTACCTGGTTCTCAGGAATGCGAATAGGATGCGGCGAATGCCTATCCATATATTTGTGGAATTTCGGAATGCCGCTCAGCTGGGGTGCTGGACTAGTTAAACAATAGCAACAACAAGAATGAAAAACCACCAATCAAATTGAGAGTTGCTAACAGGTGCGAATAGGTGGGTTATGGGCAGTCTGATCATCTGTTATCGGTCTCCTGTATTGGAATGAAAGCGGGAGTTTGAAACTACATATATTTTTTCGTCATAAAAAGTAAACCAGCTGTGAACAAATATCCAATAAAGGAAGACACGAATGTGTTTTTAAAACTGGGAAAAAGGAGGAACCACTGCTTTAGTGTCGAGCTTAATCAACACCTGCAATGAATAATTGGACCGTCTTTTCATCCCTTAGATTTTTGTAAAACTGGACGACGGCAGAAGGTAGGTTGGCTACGACAATCGATTCAGTCGATAAAGAGATGTAAATTGATGTTATTTTGTGCAATTAAGTCGACTGAGTTACCCGGTCACTAAAGCCCTATCAAGTGTCCACCAATCGCTTCATGGCAAGCGACAAGGTCACCTCAACCGCGATCTAACTGGTGCTGACAGTTTGCGGCGTTTTTAAATGAGTGTGTAAATCGGGGTTGCAAAACCTCTTTAATCCCATTGAAGCCCATTGGCGACGGTTGTGTTGTCTTGAACGATAATTTAGCCTAACGTGTTGTTGAATCTGTACCAACAAAAACAAGGTCATAGGAAATAAACGTGGACAGTCTTCTCGTATCTTCTCACCCAACACAAAAATGGATTGGAAAAGAAATAGAATACAACTCAAAGGACGGTGTAATGGAAGGCCACTTGGGTGCCAAGCAATCATTAAGTCAACGAGTTCGTGAAAAGCGCGGTTTGGGTGAGGTGGTTACCTACTTCTTTGCACTGCTGCTTCCTCGTCGAATTGCCGTGGTGGACTTTCTCTTCTCCGGGTACAAGATCTGGAAGCTGCCCTCCAAGTCGATCTCTTCCTCGTTTGAGTTCGGCTTCACGGTGACATTGCGGCTGAGGCAGAAAATGCCTCCGGCATTGTCGAATTCGCCGCAGTAGTTTGGCGCCGAGAAGATGGTCACGAAGGACCGATTGGCGAAGAACTCGTATCCGTCCTCCACGACTTGGTGGGCACGCACCATAAGGTCCAGGCCAAACCTGCTGAGGAATCGATCCACAATCTCCGGGCTGAACACGTAGGAGACGCCGCGCTCGTTCGGTCCGAATCCAGTTTCGGCGAATATCGGCGGCAGCTCATCGGCGTCGGGATCAAGCATTTCAGGGTTCAGCGGATCTGCCCACAGGAGATCGCAGACCACTCCCTCTTCCGGCACGTCCGTGGGTCTTGGAATTGCTCGAATTCGCTGCTTCAGGTCTTCCAGCCCTCCAAACTCCGGCTTCAGGAACTCCGGAGATATGCCGCCGTGACAGCAGAAGATCTGGTTTTCAATAACTGCCGCCACAGGGAGGCAATTGAAGACATCGAGGAAGTGCCTCCATAGCTTCACGTTAAACCTTCGTTTGCACTCGTCGAAGAATCCGTAAATCCTGGTGATCGCCTGGCACTCGTGGTTTCCTCGTAACAGAAAGAACGTGGTGGGGTACTTGACCTTGTATCCAAACAGAAGACAAATCACCTCTAGGCTCTGCTTTCCCCGGTCCACGTAGTCGCCGAGGAAAAGGAAGTTTGTCGTGTCTGGCTTGCCGCAGAGGTCGAAGAGTCGTAGAACATCCCGAAATTGGCCGTGCGTATCACCGCAAACCTTGAGGGGTCCCTCTAATTCTAGCAACACTGACTGACTCATGACGACGTGTTTGGTCATCTGGCATAGAGTTATCATGTCCTGTTCCTTCAGGTTCACATTTTTCACCCCACGGTCCTTGCTCGTGGCTAGCGCTTCTACAAACTCATCCAAATTGAATGCGGACGGCCGCAGTGTGGACTTTCGCGGTTGTACCGACAGCTTGATGGGTGGTAGCAGAAAATCACTTCAGTGTCGTGGAATGGGTTGAAAGGGAGCATGCGCTCTTGAACCTCAACCGCGCTGGATTTGTAGACGGGGGGCAGGGGAACGCAGAATCTCCCCTTGGGGGTCCTTGACGCGTGCGTCTCACCTTAAATTACCAGGGCCCTTGTCAATCAATAAGGTCACGCGGAACTTTCAAGTTTGCCTCTGTCACGTGGCCGACGCTACACTCCTGTCGGTGTCTGTAGCACGATTTGTCAAAATGTGCTTCTGTGGAAATTATCACTACATCCAAATTCGACACCCACGTCCCTGGAAGGATTCTGGACAGTGGTACCAATGTCGACATTGAATGTGTCAATGACTCGTCATTCCAACGCCCAATTCTGTCAAACCCGCTTCGCCGGATGATTCATTCAACGCTAGATGATTTTTTAAACCCATCTGAATTTTTTCAAACTTCAAGAAAACCATGTTTGAATTCGCATTACTGATAACACCGTTACTAGTTGTACATGTTCCATTATATCACATAATTTTTGATCTTGGCTGGCATTGTTTTCTGCGCAGGTTGTACACACAGCAGCGGCTAACGTTGTGGTCGAACCATATCAGTTTCTCCTGTATTACAAATGGCCTACGTGTATTTTTTTGCAAGGCTGTAACATGGTTCTGTTTCGCCAATGGAAAATATCACGGGAGTTCACGAACAGACGTACAGGTGATTTATCGTGGGTATAAAGGGGTCAGGGAGTTTTTTTTCTGCAAGGAGTGCCTACATTGTTTATTTTTCTCCCAGAAGCCGGTCCATGTAGGCAAATGTGAACTGTAGTGACCAATGGGAAGCCTATTTCCAGAGGCTCAAAATCTATTGGCTGATTCTCAAGCCAATAGCAACGAAGTGAGATATCGCTGCATGAAGAAGCAATCAAAAAAAGTTCGCCTATAAACCAACAAATAGGTTTCCAGTGACTTTCAAAATAAATTAAATTTTTTTGTATGTCTGATAAGGAAAAGCAAGACTCGATCAATTCTACTTTACGGATTTGGCACTTTTTAGAACATTGTAGAAGGATTAATCAGCAATTTTTTTGCACGATAAGTTAGCGCTGACATTTTTTTCAATGTCCTGCTAACGATGACGCTGAACCTCGATTTATCCATTAAGACTAGCTTGCATTCGTAACGAGAGGTTCTAATTAATAAAAAAATGCTGTTATGGGATCATTTTGTTTTAATTTTTATAACAAACGGTGATTTTACTTCGACATGTTCACGTAACTTTCAATCACTTTTTACTTAAATCTGGGAATACAAAACCGAAGGCTGAGCCAATAAGGTCGCGCTTGTGTTGACCTTGTCGTTTGCCACATAGTGATTGGTCGATGCTCTGCCTAATCTTACTTTCAACAATCCCTTAGTCACCGGTTAACTCACTCAACGCGTTACGATAAATCTACAGTTTGCTTGAATTGATTGTTATTGTCGAACTTGTTCCAGATGTTTCCACCATTACAATTGGGTGGAAATCCTTTTTTTCTAAGATGCGATCCCCAAGTCAAAATCATCGTAAAGACATCGTCATCGTCCCCATTCCAGACTTCAGGCCTACCAGAGGGGGTTGAGAGATAACGGGCATCCGCCTTGTCAATCGTTTTCCCCATAATCACCACAGCTTCCCCAAGACCGTGTGGCTCTTCATCAAAGTACTTTTTCCCTACTCCTTTTGTTGCCGTCCTCTAATCATTGCTCTTCAATTTCCAACATCTTCCAGTAGACGTCGAATTCGGCTACAGCCGGTGTGTGCGCGTTTTCGTACACCGGAAATGACCGATGCGTCAGTCACGGTGGCTGGCTGGTGTGCGAACTGATTGAATTGGAGATTCAGGAGTGATATATTGCCCCCCAGGCGACTGCTGCACAGTCATTGCCCTTCTGATTCAGCGGTCATAAAATAACGACATATTTCACCCAATAATTGGGTCTTGTTGTGCAGTAACAGCGTATGTGGTTGTGTTTGAATATCCGTACGATGAATATGCCCTTCCAAGTCACAGTCTCGAAGCCTCTCCACGACCCGCCTGCTGCTCCACAGCCCTCACCCCTCATATTTTCCGTCCTTGTCCACCGTTAGGTGACAAGTACTCTTCGTCCTTTCCACCGAACTTACACCTCCAAAACCCCGGTCTCGTTTAGCTCAACCTTGCGCTTGAACCAATCAGTGTCGACTCCAAAGTGAGGACCAATTGCCAAACGAATCACTCCAGGAATGCATGTTACCTGTGGCAACGGTAAATCCCTTCCACTAAGGCCGACCCACTGTTACTTTCATTGGCCGTGGGTGGCGGCACTAAAGTACATCCGTTAATCGTCAGTGCACCTTATGACTCTCCACATAAATTGCGCATCTAGCGTGGGGAAGAATATTCCCCTCTACATTGTACCTCTAGTTCGTCCGGTGTGTTACCTGCACGCGTCGCCACCTCCAAAGGTTGCAACGTGTACTTTTGTTTCGAACCCAGATTCTGACACCCTGAAACTCGGATAGAAAATTTGCGATATGAAATCGATATTCTTTAAATTCTGTTGAGGATAATGGCTGTAAAGAAACCCTGAATTGGGAGCTATTTGCAGTGCGGTTATTGCTCTGACAGCTTCATGAGCGACAGGTGACTTGGTAAGAAGAGGTGGCGAATGAATAATGCCCTGTGATTGGTCGCTTTCGTGGACAGCGAAGGACGGGACCTTTGTGTAACCGCTGAAGGACACATGCCATGGCTTTCTTAAAAGGGTGTCAAAATGCACACCCCACGCAAGCTGTATCCCCGTTAAGCGGGTTTAATTATCACACGCACACAAACTGTCATTAGTCACTGTATTTGATGACGGGTTTTCGATGCAAAAATCTGACGAGGAAAGCTGAATTTGCAACTGCCACTGAAATTCCGTTAGCGGAGATGCCGTGTCGTGAGTTCAAGTCCACCACAAACACCTTCGGTCACCATTCACACCTATGCGCAAGTGGGCTGCCTCTAAGCTTTTCCAGTTAAAATTTTGGCGTGGTTTTACCAAGAGTTCACTTTAAAACGCATAATTTGTGGTGTGCTTCGTCTGCGAGCAAAGCCATTTGCGGATTCTACCAAGCGCTAACAGCCTTCACGCCGATTCGTCCGTGACTTCAACATCTAGCCGTTTCTCTTCAGTGAGGCAGCGAATAACTGTGCTGCAGAAAGCACACAAATCACCACTAGAGAGTGGCAGCTGTAGATTGGGGGCTGATGGGACTTGCCAGGTTGTGGCAACTGCGTAGCGTGTGCGCAAACGAACTCGATTTGTCTCCAATTTTGCGGTCCTCGTTTGGCGTTGTTTGTGGGATCCGCGAACGCTTGTGCCTTTTTATCACCACACAGCCCCCTGTGGCCCCACAGCGCTTACCCTTTCCCGTCCACCGCACTTGGCAGCCGTTCTGGGGAATGTAACGGTTGTTATGGCAACAGAAAACACGGCCGCACCACATCCCCACTTGTGGCGAAATCGACCGTGCACCTGCGTGTGGGCGGATTAACCGCATGCGCAATTTTTCGTCAAATAAGTGAAACCAACAAAACAAGTCAGCATGCGCCCGCGATGAAATGAAGATCTCGCGGTAACTAGAACGGTGTTATTTGCGCGGCAAGCCCCCGGCACAACTTTGCAGCAAAACCACAGGCAAATCGTTGGCTTTTAAGAAACAGCGGGTGTTTTTTCAATGTTTGCAAGTTCATTTTAAGTAGCATTTACAACTGGCAAAGCAGCTATCTTGAAAAAAAGCCAACGAATAATATCACCGATCAGCTTCAGATGATCGTATACGCTTCTGGCGTTCAGCAAGCGAAGACAGCAGTCATGAGTGAACACGATTCAATCGATTAAAGTGATTGCACTTCACGTAGCTGTTTGCGCATCGATCGATATTAACTGATTCGATATAAATTGACGATAGCTATTACCGTATCAATAAACCAGTTGAACTTCGCGTTATCTATAGCCTCCTCTCTCTATCTCTTGATCTAACCGTGTTAGTGTAGGTTGTTTAGTCTTGTTGTGGACCTCAAAATTTATGTGCGTATTCCTGGTAAGGTAAATTAGGTTCCATTTCAAAAAATTAATTTTTTCGATACTGGAAAATCCAGCTCTCTTGATGCGACCTCCACAAATCACACTCAGGATTGCCACCTTGACCAATTAGATATTTTAGTGCTCAAACGTCGAACATTCGCTTGAAATTTTTTCGAAAATAGGCATTATGTCCAAAGTTTGCTCCAAAGTGCTTTAGCTCCGTTATCCTTAAGCGACAAAGTGGGTTTAAAACACTTCCCTAACCCCAATCGTCTGACAATTTGGAGTGAAATTCGGCCCGGGAATCATTGCATTATTGTCAAAGACATCGTAAAGACCACAGCGTGATCGTTAATGCCATGTCCTCCCGTGGCATCATGCAGCATTCTCGACTTGCCTTGAGAGAATGATGAGGCTGGGTTTGCGTAGCAATGATATTTCCCACAAATTGCGCAGGGGATTGTAGTCCGTAAGCAAAAACAAGCGCCTGAAACAGGACAAACATCTGCAGTGGCTAATTGGCAAACCAGAGATGCTGACGTGCGCAGTAATGCCACATAGAATAAGCAGTTAACAGGCATGGGGGACTTCAAGCATCACCTACCAGCTGGCCAATCAGCGCTTTGCTTGGATTCGGACTCGATCCCGCACTCTTCAGCAAGTCGCAACTCGACTGACAGGCGATGCGCCTTAGGTAAAGGCTGCGGTTGGCTAGCCGCAAAGTAAAATGCCAGTCTGGGTTGTATCACATCGAAATGACGCGTTAGTAGGAATCCTAAAATAGCGCGTTGCCGATTGGGGGTAATTAATGCTACACATTAGGCAAAATTCTTATTACAGTCATTCGTGAGTAGATTAAGACGCGGGTAGCGATTAGTGTGGATCGCTGAATTGATCTCCAGCGGAAAAAACCTTACATTTGCATTCTCTACAAGCTGCTTCCACTAATTCGCCACTGAAAGAAGGGTCGCCAATAAATTCCATCAAGCAATGACTAATCACAAATCTTGCTCTGAGTTTCGTGTGCTGAGTGTCTTTCTGAACTCTCAAACACACTGATTCTGACCTGTTAGGATAAAGCAATTTAAAGTGCTCAATTTTCATACGCTAGTCAGAAATCCCACGTTTAACGAGATGACGACGTAGATTGTCTGCAAACGAAAACTTTCACGTCTGCTGTGGATGTCATGTCGACAATTTTGCCAAGTACGTACTAAATAAAGACGTTTTGACGACGTCTTCCTGTCAGTTTTGCCTATATATAATGTGTCAGCTTCATGCGAATACACGTTCTGTCAGTTTAAGTCAACTTTGCACACCCAAATGACAACTAGCCTAGTTAGACGACATTTCTCTATGCAAAGAAGGCATTCCTGAAAAAAAGTGTAAATTTTATAAAAGAAATCAGTGCTTTTGGCTATCGTTAATTTATTGTGCATTTTTACCTTGCCATAAAGATGTTAATACTACCGTATAGATAAAAAAATACAGCCTATTTTAAGAACACATCTAAAGGCCACATGCACATCTGGCGAATGCACCTGTTCATTATCGCAATCAGCCAATAGAATTCGACCAGCCTAGAATTAAACGGAAATCTGCCGCGCTAATTACATCAATATCCGCTTCTCACTACCAGTGAAATGGACCTCACGCTTTGAATGGATTGACGCCACACCAATCAGATGTGGACCAGTCATCCAACCAAATGCTGCTTCGGTGGTGTTTCGAATATGACGAAATTTTACATCATCTGTCAAACTGGGAATTACAAATAACAACAGCGAATGTGGAGGTACTCAAAGCGCAACGGTTAGGTATGAAGACTGCGCATGGACATTGCAAATTCAATCAACCCGAATTTCAAGTTGCCAACCATGACGCGCAAGCCAGATTCTACGGATATGCAGTGTCCGAAACAGCGAAGGTGCGGTTGGTTCGTGCTGCTTTCCAGTTGGTCATTGAAACGAACTGTACGCATTCAGCGTCTGCGGTCTAAAAGAGAGAGTTTGAACCCAACTGACGTGAAAGGGATTTCCCCCAACTCAGCCTATGTGACCTCGTTCACGACACATCTCCTCAAACAACGCCTCATTCCGACCCACCACACACCTCATCCGGTTCCTCAGCAACACACTGCGTCGCCTGCATCACCACCGACATTCAGCGACCAATCATCTGAGGCGGCAGAATTATCTTCGCGTCAGTTGGACGGACATCAAATCACCGAGCTGGACGCTGTCGAAAGGAAACTGTAAAATAACACGATGAACATGCACGAAACCATTTTGAAGTACACCCCAGATCACTGGATCAATCTCACAAAAGCGTGCTGGGCAAAAGCACACACACACGGTGTTCGAACGATGGCAATGCAATGCCAGAAATGTCACTCGTAATGCATTTCTAGTTGTCAGCCAACCACCTTCTCGTGGGTCCTATTTTGGTGGTTTGGGTTCAAAAAGCACAGAACTGCTTGCAAAGAACACACGCCGCTAGGCATTCTCTCCGACCGCCAACCAGCCAACCGTGCTGCGCGGTACACATTCGCAGTGCTGGTCCACTTCAAGCGCACTCTTCGTGCCTGCCTTGTCGCCCCTCCACGCGTTGCCACCTGCTTCAGGACATTCAGCGGCAAATATGTCGGTGAAATCGTGGTGCATGCTGTTTACACTTATCTCTACCAATGGAGGGTTTATCTGTTCGTTTGTTTTGGCACAAAAACCGTTGTAGCTTTTGCATTTTTCGATCCACTTTTTGGAAATCTGATGATCTACTTTTGTATAACATACTTATTGCTATCTATACAAACCATTATACACAACTGTTTTCTCAATCTGTTGGTACGTGATTTAGCGTTCCTGCTGCGTTTTGGTTGCTCCTCATTTATTGCATTTCTGCAGACTGCCGAAAACGCAAGAGTATTGTGAATGAGGAAGTGTATGGAAGCCTTTACTGGTAACCAAGTGGGTTTCCCTGGAAGAGATTTTCAAAAATAGTCATGACCTCAACCTGCGTGGACAACCACAGCTTCTAGATATGCTAAAGTGGTCAGTAGGATTGATTTTATGAGTTCACGAAAACTTTAAGATCCTGTAATCAACTTAAAATAGCCCTCTTTCGGCGAATCTAGCGAAAAATTGGCTCTCAAACCTGGAAATACAATGGTTTGGATCTGAGGTCTTCAGTCTGCTTGCAAATTACACATTTTTCTTGTTAAACCGACAACTAATTGCACATATTACCTAGCAACGACACCAGTTAGCAGAGGAACAGGTACGAATTTCGTGAGCCAGCCGTCAACTCGCGACCTGGATAGGGTTAATTTTAATGAAATAAGCAGCCAAATTGGACTCTCCTCGAACTCCCCCTCTGGAAATGTTTAATCGTTGAACAGTTAGCGCAAAGACATTCAACATGTTCAGCATTAACCAAAGTATCGTGTACCTGTTGAAATCCCTTCGCTCAACCCCTTCGGCGCTACGCTGATTTGTTGATCCGAAAACGCTTCTAAGCGCGTTGCAAGGTGGTAAAAATGCTGGGAGTTACTTTTGCTATAGGCTTGTGCAAGTAGACGCCAAATTCAATCTACTTCCTGTTCCTATAAGCTGTTAATGTCTATCTAATCAGCAACACAACGATGAAATTTTAAAGGTTACTAAAAACGTCAGATTCTATGCACGAGTGCTAGGGATTATTAGCAGAAACGAGTTTTCTCAAAGGTACATTTATGGTATTTCAGGTTTAGACAGTGGATGTGTACTTTTCTGGTGACTTGCGACTCCCACGCAGCCCCTCCTGAATAAACCCACCTAAAACGATGCCTCATGTCTTGACTGTTGGGTTCAAAACTTCTTGAAGGTTGAGAACTAGCTCCAAAGTCCTGGTAAAGTGGAGCCTTCAAGGTGTTTCAATCCACTTTCCAGTCAGTAAGGTCTGCGGCTGTCATCAGCTTCAACCTACGGCGCGTTGTTAGACGTGTGACGATCAGCGCGCGGTGTTTGAGCGAAGACGAAGTTATGCGATTACTTTTAAGTAGGAGTGCACGTCACGTAGCAGCGGTCGTTGACCCCGGTGTGGCTAGATCTTCATGATTACCATCATTTTCAAGATGATAAAATTCAGTTAGGTTACATGGACTCCCACCAGTCAAGTCCGACTTCAAGGGTCTATAATGGCTTATGTGATTTGCCAAAAATATCACTTATTGATCAGCAGCTCCGCCAAATTATCGATCGCCTCGGAGAGTAGCTATTGGTTATCCAACGAGCTTGAAGCAGACAGCAGTTCCAAATCAGAGAGTCTTGATTCTGTCAAAATGGCTGGTGCGTGTTATAACAGCTGGTATAAGTCCATTTAACAGAAGGAAGTGGTTACTTCGAAGATGACGACAGCGGGTCGAAGATGTCCATCAGAAGCTGGATGCAAAAACCTTCCAGCCACATGATTTGGCGTGGTAGCCTTGGTCAGCCTTGTTACAAACGAATTTTCCCAACACAATTGTATACAATGATGGCGGATCTTCATTGCTAAGGAAAACTGGGAATCGCGGAGACCTTTGAGTCGTTGTTGGACGCTGATAGGTGTCAGAGAGTTTGATTTTAACTTAATTTAACTATGTCCATATCCCAAGAACAAAAGATCGTGTCAGAATAGTTGAAACATCAGCTAAAAACCTACTATAACCCCGCATTTGCTTAGTAGAAGTTCTGTACGGGAGTACAGTCCGACCCAGCCAGCACGAACCGAATAAAGTATTGAGCTGACGAAGCCCGATTTGGGACAGGATAGGTAGTGGCACGAGTTCTAGAGTTGTGCAGAAGTTTCCAATTGACGTAAAGTACGTGTTTGAAGACAAACCACACCAAGATGGATGTTTAAACGACCGTGATGCCAGGTAGCTAAAATTCAGCGAAGTGCATATGCCTTAGTTGTATGCTTATGCATGACGAACTTAGATCAAGTGACGCTGACTTTGGCATCATGGAAGATGAAGTCCGGTGAGGTACATCTGTAGATTTTTTTGTAAAAAAAAGAGAGGACAGTAAGGGCATTTTTAAGTTCAGATCTCAAGCTCAACTCTAGATTCGTGCTACATGGAGTGCTCTGGAATCAATTATGTATTGTAAAGAAATCGGTTAGAAACATTTCACCTCATCTAACCAACTGTGATTTTATTTCGCGAAAAACCAGCAAAGCACCGTAAATTTTCAACTTTAAGAGAGGTCTACAAATGCCTCATGGCCATTTTTTTAAAAAAATTACGCCCAAAACAACTGGCGATCATAGTTTTTCAAATCCAAATACAGCAATTCTGCCTTTAATAAAACATTCTTTGGGTGAATTTGATTCTAATTAAAAGACACGATCAGACAGTCTGCGATCATCTTTAATTTGAGGTGTTATGCTTGCGGTTTGGCGAAATCAAGGTCAAAATCTTGACCAATTGAAATTGATTTTGGTAAATTGTGCTATTTGACGCCTATCACCTCCATTTGGACGTTTTTTGCCTTCTTACCTGCCCCGTGCACTTTGCCATTCCACCAACAACTGCGTAATTAATCGACGACACAAATCTTGTCACCAATTCTCATCGCGCCCATCACAAACGCCTTCGTGTAAACGGCACAGTTTGACTCCACACTAACCTAAGCTCTCACATTCTGAAAGGGCTACTGCAATTGCATCCAGGCCTCAATCAATTACTTTTCCAACGTGGATTTGTGTCCGGCTTGCGGACATATTCTTGAGAAAAGATCTTGGAAGCATGGAATGTACCTTACTGCTAGATGGCACTCGATGCCAACACAAAAACTCACGTATTTTGATCGAAACTGTGTGAATCAACAACTCGAACATAACAGATCGAGTTCGTGTTTCAGAAAAATTGTCTCCTGGCAGTAACTTCGTGCCGCACATCTAGTCACTAACTCAAAATAAAGAACATGATTACAGGTGTTAAAAACTTCAATCAATTTCAACGTGGTGTTGAATTCCAAATTGTTGTGAATAAGGTGCACTTTGTGTACCAAACCGGATTGGTCAGTTGGTTGAATCAGAGTTTTCGACTGCCGCATTCCCTCACGTCCTTATCCAGATGTGTTCGAGGGCATTGTGACCTTTCAGCAAATCAGTTATTACATCTATAAACAAGAGATATTTGCCCAATTGCGAGTTCGTACCAGCGCCACACAGTTGGGAGACAATAAAAGCATATTTATAGCAGAGTTCTGGAGGTGTGTGTGTGTGTGTGCGTGTGTTCAGAGCCAATGAACTTTAGACGATGAAAAAAGAACGGATTTGACTGTCACCATCACTGGCTGTGTGTGTGTGTGTGGGACAAGATATTGGTAAAGGAAAGAGGTCTGTCATCGCGACGTAAATCAATAACTCGTGCCAATTAGATGCAGGCAGGAAGATTCCCGACCTCCTATCTAATGACTATTACTCGCCGCAGTCTGGAGAATGAGGATTCGTGTTCGTGAAGAGTAAATTGATTCCACAAATATATATTTCTAAACGTTCGGAGATATTTACGAGCAAATTGGGAAATTAGATTGACACCAGGTATCTGTAACAGTGGATGGCCTCTCACGACTAAAGTATATCGATCTGAAAAGTGCGTTTGAGTCGTTGTCTAGACATAACAGCGTTTCGAAAACTGTGACATACAAAACAAATTAAATTTGAAAAGCCCAAATATGCAACTCAATTTCCCAAGGAAGGATAATAAAGTCATGGTCGAAAGAGATTACCTTTTAATAAGTCAAATGGCGGAATTTTTAAGTAAAAAAATGGCCCAATCAGTGTCAGGTCCTAGGAGTCAACTCAAGGTCACTTCAAAGTCACAAAACAAGGCACATTTTAGCATCCCTGTTGCCTGTGCTCGTGCCACTCACCAGACCAATCAGCCATTTGCATATTTACTGACTCACCCAATTGCTATTGGTTATCAGCCTCAAGTAGCGAAATTTGAATTTGTGTGCACGGTGAACAATTTGAGCTACTTTGTTCCAGCAAATGGAATGAAATGACGGATGTGAGCTAACACGGCTCATTACAAGTCTTGTGCACTATTGCTTTGACACCTCTATAGGGGTGTGCTTTATCTGTGACTGCCTAATGCTAGTGGAACTAAAAATTTCTGACTTTTCTACTTGCAAAAACTAAATTCGCGCCTTGTAAGCCCTTTTTGTTTTAAAAAGCATTCAGAATGTACTTCTACGCACAACCACAAATGACCACTGATGGAAATTTA